CACACTTTTGCGCCAATTAGGTATTTGGGAATTTTTCAAGGACATAATAAAAAGGAAAACTTAAAATTGAATGTTTATCAAAAAATACCTAAAATTAGTAGTAAATTTGATATTTGGAAGTCACGAAATTCGTCCATAAAAGGGAGCACCAAATTTATTATATTCTATGAATGCAATTTTTATTCCAAAACCAAGAATAACAGAAGCGGCGTCAAAACTTTTTAATTTTATTTGGGATGTCAAGAAACATCATATTATAAATAATACCCTAATTGGTGATAGAAGTCAAGGCTGACTACAAATGACTGACTTAGAACTTCTAAACAAGGCTTTTAAAATACCATGGGCAATACGTAATATCGAAACAAAAGCTGTTTGGTGATTAATACCAAAGAGTTATTTTTATAAGTTTGGGGGTTTAAAGTTTCCTTTTTCTTGTAATTATGAGGTTGTTAAATTGCACCACAACTTACCAGGTATTTATGGAGACATGCTAAAATTTTGGTCACAGTTAAAAGCTTATAAACCACCCAGTAATCTCAAAGAAATAATATCAGAAATATTATGGAATAATGAGAATATTTTGATCAATGAGCATTAAGTATGTTATAACAGATGGCTAAATGAAGAGATAAAGTATGTAAGTGATTTGTTGACAGAGGATGGTAAATTTTTGTCTTGTCCTTGTTTTATCACAAAATATGGCAATATCACTGATTATTTCAATTTAAAATTCTCCATCGTATTTGGGCAACAAATTGTTATTTGTATACTATTAAGATTAGAAATGATAAACAAGTGCGACCGCTGTCAGCAAATAGAAACTATAGAACATTTATTTTGGGAATGTAGGGTAGCCCAACAGTTTTGGAAAGATTTCCAAGATTTTTGGAGATTGCGAATAGGTGACAGTATACCTTTCACATGTAAAACAGTTATTTTTGGACAAATATATATAATGACATATTGAACTATTTAATTTTATTAGGGAAGTACTTGTTGTATTCACGCCGTTACTTATCCTTTAAAGCAAATTTGTATTTATTTTTTATTAGAAGGGTTAGAGACGTGATGAATATTGAACAGACAACATTGTCACAGTCAAAATACAACTAAAAGTGGGTGAATTTTGGAGTATACCATTTGTCATTCTTTATTTTATTTTTCTTTGGGGGTGTGGGGTGGGGGTAGACTTGCATTGTGGTCCCGTTTTGAACCTGAACGTTCTCTTTGAAAGTTCTCTTTGAATGTTATCCCTTTGAACTTGGGCTTTCTCAGAATTTTAACCTTCTTACTTTTGAACTGTATACTGTACCATCATTTTGTTTTGTCAATATTTTTTAATGTAAGTGTTTAAAATAAATGTACAAACATGTCACATTATAGTCCAAAGTAATAGAATATCATTCAAAATTAGACAGGTCAAAATTATTTATTTAAATATTGGGGCAGTGTAAGCTTAGTCTGCCAAGCGAGTTGATCTCCCACGTATTCAACTTCTCTTCGATACATAAAGTTACCGGTCCCCACTACATAGTATGCATTAGGGATTAAAGGTCTATTAGCCCCTATGTACCAAGCTTTGAAATTAATAATTTAATGAATATTCGTTATTGCTCATATTGTTCATATATCCTCATTGCAAAAAAAAATAAGCCCATCGACATACTTGTTAATTATTTGAATAATTTTTGTATGTACGTAAATAGGGCAAATATTCACAGCATGGGGATAATATGAACCAGTGTGTACTATTATTACATTCACTTTATTATGACCAAACTGATGATGCAATAAACCAGTCTAATAATCGCGCCCTCTATTAAAGAAGTGTCACTGAGACGTAGAAATGACTCAGATTGGTGAACGTTTCATGTACTACCAAAACTTGTATTTACTTGATCGTTTCTTGTAATATAATATAATTTTATTAATTGTATAATGGCCTCCGGCCCATTACAATCATACAAATTAATTATTGACAAGAAATAAATTTACATTACAAAATATGTATGAAAATATAGATGAAGAGGGTGTCAATAGATAACATAAGCACTATATAATAATGTGATGGGGATATTTATATATATATATACATACAAGCTTATTAGGTTATTCTCATTTGATCTTTGATTAAAAAACACTTATAAATAAATAGAGCTAACGAGTTAATGATTTGGCTTTTAGAGGAACTTAATAGTTGTACTAGAGTATTCAAATTTTGGGGTTGTGTCTCATTTGGGAGATACCTTTTCCTGATTGTGTCCCATGCAGTGCATTTTAGTAAAAAATGATATTCATCATCAATTTCTTGCAGGCACAAATGACAAATACGGCCCTCCCTATGGATATTATTATGTCTGCCTCTTTCTATTTCTAAGGATGGCACGCACATCTTAATCTTGCTATTGCTCTGCGCAATTTTAATTGTGGCAATGACACATAGTT